ACCTTAAACCGCTAAACCCTAAACCCTAAACCCCTAAACCCTAAACCCTAAACCGCTAAACCCTAAACCCTCAACCTTAAACCGCTATGTAAGGGCTCTTTGAAGGATCCTCGTGGGCTCTTTCGTGGTCTTTGAGAGCTCTGTCAGGGTTCCTTAAGGGCTCTTGCAGGGTTCTTTCTAGCATCTATAGGGCTTCCGGAGTGGTGTGATCTAAATCCGTATTGCGTATGCCTAAGATGATCGGCATGTGCAGCTGCGAGTCGTTGTTGTATCATGGACGTGTAAACTTTGAAAAATACGCTCAGAAGAGACATGGGTCTCCGAGAACAGCGTCTCCCATTGGAGTCGGCATGGTTCACATCTGCTGAGCTGTGTATGAGGAGCTGCACAAGCCAGCAGGTTCTTGTCTGTGACCCCGCTCTTGTCGTGAGAAAGCCTTGTCAGTTGCCAGATTGCAGTGCAGACGCCGCAGTCAGCAACTCTCCGCTGCAGCTCTGCCTGCCGCTCGGGTTGTTGGAACTGTTGCCGCTGCAGCTCTGCATGGCGCTCCTGCAGCTGTTGATGTTCTGGAACCAAGCTGCTGGTGGCCGCGATTCCTTAATCAAGTTCTAGCATTACCATCCTCCTCCAGTTCTTCGCGGCAGTCGATGCTCGGCGGGTGCTTTAGCGGCTTGTTGCACGGGCCGTGCCCGAACCGACAGTCGTACTCGCAGCGCGCTGCACACTTTAACGTCTCTCTGTCATTGTACACGGGAGTTTCGGCATTCGATGCGGTCACCCACCTTAGGTGGGCTAGGGAGGTTACGGCATTACGCAGGGGATTAGGCGGGCTTGTGTGCTGTTTGTAATATGTGCGCATATACGAAATATACTGATGCATGTATTTCTTTACCTCAACCATCGGGGTGTGCTAAACCACCTGCGACAGCCCTAAATTTACAGATAACAACGTAGTGCATGACATATTTCAACAGTTCAGACCCGTTCGGTTGGATGCAAAGCAATCTGAAGCAAGTATCTGTACACTTGCCAGAAACTGCGATCTTTTGGCAACAGACGCTGTTGCTGCACTGTAGCTGGGGTGAAGGTCAAGGTTGGGGGTTGATCTTGGTTCAGGGTTTAGGAAGCACGGTATAAGGTTCAAGATACTCAGGATCTGTGCTGCCACAAAATCTCGTGTTTAAGCGATATTATCCTGGGTTTAGAATTCAGGCATCTGAGCTTTACTGGAGTTCAGAACACTTCAGTATTCGGGTTCACCCTCCCCACTCGGAGGAACATCACCCCGCATCGAGACATGATTTACCCGGTAATATAGGAGCATTTAATAGTTAGAATAGGGTTTGGGGGTATGTTATACTATAATCATAACAAGGAACCCCTACGACAGTATTGGTACAGTAATTGTTGAGGACCCTTTTCGAACCCTTCTGTCGATCCCTTCTAGACCCCTTTAAGGAACCCTTTAAAGGAACCCCAAAAGAGTTTTAGTTTGGCCCCCTATACTAAATCCTTGTAATGGCCCTTATAGACCGTCTAAACCCTAAAACCCTACACCCTAAACCCCTTTAAAAGGAACCCCCAAAATAGTAACCATTTAGGCCCCTGTAGTAGTGAAATTTAAGGTTCCAGGCCAAAGCTCCCGAGCTGCAGGTCGCTCGGGTCAGGGGTTTGGGGATTCGGGGTTTGGGGTTTGGGGATTTGGGGGATTATAGGGGTGGTTTAAGGATTATGGGGGTTTAGGGGGTTATAGAGGTTTAGGGATTAGGGGGGTTTAGGGTTTAGGGTGCAGGGGTTTAGGGGTTTAGGGGTTTGGGGTTTAGGGGATTGGTGTTTAGGGGTTTGGGTCTTAGGGTTTGAGGGCCCCGGGCAACAATCGTAAGGTGGTGTTGTGCACTTTGCCCGCACCGCCGGTGAAGCCAGACTACACTGTGAGCATGAAGAATGCTCCAGAAAACAAGAGAGGATTCTAGGATTTGGGGCTTCAAGGTTTTAACGTAGGGATTCAAGGGCTAGGGGTTAAGGGATTAGCATAAGGATCATTCAATCGAAGTGTTTCTCGGAATCAGTTATGTATGTGGTTCTATGAGGGCTGGGGGGTTTCAGGGCCCACACGCGCAAACTGATTAAGTAGAATGTAACCGTATAACCATCATTCAGCAACGGGACCCCATCGACTTGCCAGATTCACGTCTGCATTGTGTCAAGCCCTTCTTACACTAAGCTCAGAACCCGCATCTACAAGCTTCCAGCTGCAAGCCCTGAATCCTTAAACCTTCAAGTCAAAAACAAGAAGCCCACGACCCAAAGTCATAGGGACCCGTAGAGGGGGTAGCCTAGCCCCCCCTCCCCATACCCCCCTAAGGGACAAGATCAATAATTATTTACAGTGGTGGAATCTACCCCATAATTATAGGGTAATGATATCGCCCTGAAGTCATGCTGTAACTGGGCCATAATATATTAGTAGAAGCCAAACCCAATTCGGATCACTCAGGTCTGTAAACCCCTCGGCACACGATGGAATGCTGCTATACCTAAACCCCAAACATGTCCTTCGCCTGGCACCGGCAGGGGTGGCGCAGGCGCTCCGTCCGCAGCGGCTGTCTGCACCGCCAGGCACACTTCAACCCTGAGCATCGTAGGGTTGCTTGAAGGGTTCCTTTACAGTAAGTCTTTGCAGATAACTAGAAGGGTTCAGATCTGACAGTACCCGGAGAGCCCAATAAGCCGTGGGTGAGGGAATGCCTTCTTCAACATACTGAAATTTTATGTAGAGAAGATTCCTTATTCAAGGAGTATTGCCGCCGGACTCATTAGAAGAAATTCAGAAAGGTCCGAATTTGGACCCAAGATTAACCCAGGAATAAAAAGGGTGCGCTTTTTGGTTTAAAGGGGCTTCTAAGGGAACCTGAATCCTAAAACTCTAGATCCTAGGAATAGTAAATAGGCCCCGTGAGTCTTAGCCTCGTTAGCCGAGCAAAGAATCGAGGACATCATCTTTCAGGACGTCAGGCTGGCGAAAAAGCAACCACCTGCCGCGTACCCAAAGACTCCAATATCCCTTAATTAAGGAAAATACCTTAAATTAAAGTAGGATCCTTAATATGATCTAAGGAACATTCCTCAATTAAGGGATATTATAGTCTCTGGGTAAGCAAAAGAACAAGCACGCTAGAATACAAGGGGCAACACGCGCGCATAACAAAACCGACTCAGAGAACATGAGCCATGGTGTGGAGACAAGGACGGACAGTAGACATAAGAAGTAAGACGCAGCCCAACTACAGAACTACGGTATATCAGAAAGATGGTTACTGCCATAAATCAGACCTTTATAGTCAACCTCATGAACTCCGAATCCACTTCTGCATCGTCAAATCATGAACATCCATGAACCTGTTGCAGGGCTTTGGGGTGCAAGGGTACAGTGCTTGGGGTTTGTAGGGTTTCCTGTCAACGGTTGCAGGTTTTATGGGCTTGGGGATTTAGGTTATGGGCTTATGAGCTTAAGGCCTTAAGCAGGTTATATTGGCTTGTTGTGTTTTGTTATGATTTAGGGCTGAGGGTTTAGGCCGTATAAAAACTTACAGGAAAGACATGTGATTTCCAGAATACAGTTCCTATGCTTATGGGGACACTGAAATGAACTACGTCTCAACCCTAGACCGTGAACGTAATTGGTGCGAGCTTCTGCATGGGAGGCAGCGAGCACAATGAGAACTCTGGCGAGAGAACACCTGGGTTGTCCACAGCAGCCTGACAAGAGCGTGTGGGGTTGAGGCTTAAGGTTTCGGGTTTCAGTTTTTTTTTTGGGGGGGCTCTTTTCCAACTGCAGTACAGCTAGAATTCCTTACCAGGATGGGTTTCAGTTTAAGACTCAAGGCTTAGTTGAGGGTTTAGGTTTGCGGGTTCAGGGCTTGGGGGTTTAGGTCTAGTGTTCAGGATTCAGGGGTTTAAGTTTAAGTTTAAACTGACCGAAAGAGCCCTAAACCGTTTTGAATAATATAGGGGCCTGAATGATTACCAACATCATAATAATACTTTGGAAGGTTCCTTATCATAACGTAAAAATATACCCCAAAACCCTATATTAATTGTGAAGGCCCGTACATTACATTCTAGTACCCTTAAAGATCCCTTATAGTAACCCTTATATAGACCGATATAGACCCCTTTGAAAGGAACCCTATTCTAAATATCAAGGCCCCTATATTATAGTGCCCTTTTGAATCAACTATAGTAACCCATACAGACCCCTTAACAGGAACCTTATTCTGATTATCAAGGCCCCTATATTATAGTGCCCTATAGATCCCTTAAGGCAACCCTTTAAAGGACCCCTTAAACGGAACCCTATTCTAAAGATCAAGGCACCTGTATTATAGTACCCCAATAGATCCCTTATAGTAACCCTTAAAAGGACCCCTTTAAAAGGAACACAAAGGAGCCCTATTCTAATTACTATGGCCCCTACATTCTAGTACCCTTATAGATCCCTTATAGTAACCCTTTAAAGGACCTTAAAAGGAACCCTATTCTTACCAGTAAGGCCCCTATATTATAATGCCCTTCTAGATCCACCATAGTAACCCTTTAAAAGACCCCTTTAAAAGGAACCCTATTCTAAATAGTAAGGCCCCTATATTATGATTATACACTAAAGTACCCTTACAAACCCCTTTAAAAGGAAACCTATTCTAACTCTTAAGGACCCTACATCAGAGGACTCCGGGACCTGCCACAGCTTCGTGCATGCGGCAGTGTCTGAGTAGCTGAAGGCCCCGAACCACCCGCGCGCTTGAGGGGTTTAATAAGGGTTTACGGTTTAATTAGGGTTTAGTTTCTTTTTTTTGAGTGCCCTTTTCCGTCTGCAGAGTCTGAGTCAGAAGTCTCCCATGGAGACCGGCAGGTTGAGCATCCACCAGTTTCAATGATGCTGTTCAGGCTTTACTTAACCCTGTGTACACATTCAGAACTCGCGGGCTATACTTGGAATATCATTCCTCATCTGAGGTCCGGATGCCGTCAAACGCCCTGTCTAACATACGACTGTACGGTGACTGCGGGTTCACTCTTGTCAGGTCGGCAGGTTCATGTGGGTCACCGTAGTACTCGTCGTGGTGCTCGGTTTGCTCCATCTGCCCCAGCTCGACATTCTCGGCATCCCTGGTCGTTCCAGCCACCTGAGTCTCCTCCTCGAAGTCCAGCAACCTCTGCCCCTGCATCAAGTCGAGTGGTGCCTCACCGCCCGCGGAGCGAACAGCAGCATCATCCAGGCGACCCTCCTTCCACGCAGCATATAGTTGTTCATACTGAACAAACTCAAGTCCACTCAGCGAGCCATCTTCCAGCTGCGTGGCCTCATACGGCAACGTAGAAAGCTCATCAGGGAGAACATCATGCCGAGGTGCCCTGAGCTCGCTCCGACCCGCTTCCCCCACAGGCGCGGAATGGACTGCATCAGGCTCTCGTCCAGCGGGAGGCACATCTGTAGCTGCAATCCCTTCAGGTCCACGTTCAGCTCGAGACACTTCCGCATCTGCTGATCCATCATTGCCATCATCAGGGTTCACACCGACGGGCCCATGCTCCAACACCACCGTGTCCACATCATCCGGACAGATCTCGGTCAGCAGCTCCATGTCCAAGCGCAGGCTCGCCGTACCACCCGCTCCGACGGGAACCCGCAGACTACGAGACAACCACGCGGAGCCCCGGTCGACGCGGCCACTGACCGTGACAGCCAGCACATTCCGCTGGCGCTTGGGAGGACGCTCACCCATGATGTTATTCCATTGCCAGTCCTCCCACTGTTTGTACTCTTGTGCCGTCAATCGTCGTAACCGCACAGACTCATCCTCCCCCAACTCCTCTTGGTACTTGTGGTACGCCTCCTCATACTGTTTTTGTGCCATCTGCTCCGCCTCTCTGACCCTGCGTTCACGGTCTTGTTCACGCCGAGCTTCGTCTTGATCAGCCTGCAGCTGGGCCAAATCAGCGTCTGTCAGCGGAGGGGGGGGGTCGTTGCTCGAACCCGGCATCCCAGTCTGCATGTCCAGGCCAAAGAAGTTCCGCCACCACTCCATTTGCCAAGTCAGGTCCCCTACTCCAGTGCCCTCGGAGTCCTCATCACACATAGCCACCAGCACCGCCTGCATCTGGTCACGCTTGCCAGAGTCAAGGTTGGCAGCTCGGTCCAGCCGACTCCTCAACCCTTCGATGTTGGCATCAGTCTGACTGGGGGTTTGCGCTGGTGGGTGGCATAGCCGAAAGCGTCGTCGAAAGCTCCCGATGGACGCCGAAACCGAAGGAGCCGTCAGTGGAACTCAGCGCGATGGCCGTCCCGGAAGCTCCCTCGTTTGATCCATCACCGATCTGATAGGATACCGTGCGGTAGTTCGACCCGCTTGGCGCCCACTTCATGTCTGTGGCGTCCAGTGAACGGCACTCTGAGAAGACATCCGAACTGGCCATTGTGGACAGGCTTAAAGTCAGGGGCGCGCTCCTCTGCACTGACACCAAAGAGGACAAGGCTGTCTCTGTGAGTGCAGCCAACAGCTGCAGCCATCTGAAACGGCTGGGAAGGCTTTGCAGTCAGCCGGAGCCAAAGTGCCTTCTTCTTGCCTGTTTCTCCACGTCGGGATCCCAGTCGAACGTAGATAGTCTCGCCATCTATCAGGTCCTTCAAACCCTTGGTGAAGACATGGAGAGGGGTGGCCCAAAGACGCCCCTCTGTAAGCTCAACTGCCTGAGCCATAGCGACGCCGCAGGACCGCAAAACCAGCATCCCGACTGTAGCGCCCCACCCCCTCTTCAGCATAGTGCGGTCAGTCACCTCCGGCGCCACCTCGACCCAAGCTTGGGCTTCAAGCTCTTCGATGCGGACCGCTTGCTTGAGGCTGCGCATGTAGCTCTTGATACTTTCTCCTTTGGCGAGGGACTTTGGGAACGTCTTGTTCAACCTTTCAATCAACGCCTCCTGCTTTGGGGCTCCCGTTCCACGAATTGACCCCCACTCAAAAGCTCCTGATGGGTTGAGCTTGCAGATGGACTCGGCTTGGCTCTTGGGCACAACAACTGAGACGCTCTCTCCATATTCAACCCCCCCGAAACGCTGAAACCCGATAGTAAGGGCTGCCACCACCAGCGTGACAGGAAAGAGAAGGAGCATCAGAGTCAGCAAGATGCGGCTGATCCTGGCCTCTGAGCCACCCTCTCCCGGGGTCATTGCCTCCCTTAGCAGCTTCCTGGAGCCACCATGGAGCGGACCAAAGACTGAAAAGTCAATTTCACCACTGCGAAATTTGCGCCAGAAGGAGTCAGGAAGAAGGGTCGCACAGAAAGTGTAGATGCCAATGACATGAATGGCCAATGTCAAGAAGATGGAGAGGAAGACAGGGACGTTTGACATAAGGCCAATGGGCCCCAACTTGCGAGCCGCTCTGAAAATCACGGCATAGAGCTGCCAATCGAACCGAGTCCGTACGAGTGCCCTGACTGCTGTAGAAGAGGGTCGATACCTGGCAAACAACCTTCCAAGGCTTGCTGGGCATAGAGTCTAGACCCAGTCTGACCTGTGAACAAGGACGCGATTGTAGCCAAGTTTCCAAACGCCGTCAAAAGTACAACCAGGTGGTCATTACTTGACAAATCCGCGAAGGAACCCGCCAGTAGCCCAATAGCGGATAATGCGAACTCAACTGGGTTGAGTGGTTCAGACCTGGCGTAAACTGAGCCCAAAATGACCGAAACTGCCAGGAAGGCTCCATGGTAAAAAGTGACCTTTAACCCCAAGGCTGCAATCAGAATGCCAACGATCAGCGTAACTGTGGCCAATCCGAAGTTGCTGACTTGGTCGACAGGCACTCTAGACCATGCAGCCATCACGTTGACCAACAGGATGGTTATAAGGACAACAGAGCCAGGGAGCACGTTGATAGCAGCCTTGCGGGTCCTCCTCAAGAGTTCATCTAGATCATTGAACGCAGTCTCGAAATCTTGCATGGAGGGTGAGGGGGTGAGTAGACCTCTGAACATGAGGGGCCCATGGCAGCGGCGTCCACTGGGCTCGAGCCACGGCACTCTTCACCGAACCCAACTTGAGCACTCTTGCGGGCCTCATTGTCTCGTTTGGGCACCTGTCGGATGACAGCAAGGTCAGAGCTGACGAACTCCCCGGAGATGTACGACACTGACATAGCGCTGCCTGAACGAAGATGTTGATCACACAAAGACTGACACATAAATGAACAGCCTGCCCAGCCCAGCGCAATGGGGCATGAAGTGAGCCTTACGTTTGGCTCCTCGTCGGCAACGAGCCAAACAACGTTGGCACTACCGGAGGCTGCTGTAACGAGAAACAGTCTGAGTTGATGGTTGCCGGTTGCATCTTCGAACATAGTAGAAGTCATGTCCCGGCGGACGTTCTTCCCTGGTGTGAGCGACCAATAATAAAGGTCCCCGGTCACGTCCGCCGATTCACTCCAGGCGACCGGAATGGCAGGCTCAAGGTCAGCACTGCATCCAGACGGGGCGGCCAAAGCAGCCCGGCGCCACCCACGAGGCAGAAGTGCAGACTGTGGCTGGACACGGACTCCCGTGCACATAAAGAGATCGCTGCCCGGGTACACGTAGCCGCCCGCCGTGAAAGAGGATGCAAGTACCAAGCCTCCCGAAGCAACGCCACTCAGCATCTGGAGACGCACGGTGATCTTAGCGCCTGCCCTCGCTGGCACTTTTGCCAAAACAACCAGACTGCTGAAGGTAGCTGGGCGAGAAAGCAAGTTCATCGGGTCAAAGTGCTAAGCTCTTGAGAAAGCAGTAGCCGATTCCAGAAGATTCTCCGTAGACAGCGAGATCGCAGGCTGGGTCGTTGGAACACAAGCGCTCACAGTCATCACGTGTGCCAACAATCGTGCGCAAGTCAGTTGTTCCCGCCATATAAATGCTGTCTTGAAACCTGGGGCGGGGGCGCAAGTCAAAGCCTGTGTCATGTGAACCCTAGGCGCACCAGGACCAACTGAACTCATAAGTTTTTACCGACCCCGTTGGCGCAGGCTCAAAGCTCAGTTCGCATCCGACAGCAAATCCGCAGGTTGATGAAGCCTGATCGGAGGCGATGATTGAGGCACTTGCCAATGGGGTAGCCCCTAGGCCTAAAACTGCTTGCAAGTCGACAACAGTTGAATACTCATCCCTAACCCAGCCAGATGCGCAAAGGGAAGGGATGTCAACGTCAATAGTTGCAGAAGGACCCGCTGTAAATTCTGGCTTTGGGAGGCGAAGTGGCGATTCACCAAGGAGAGAGCTGAGATCAACGGATCTGAGTGTTCCAGATAGGAACTCCAAGCCTTCCCACAAATCAGCGTCTGTGGGTTTCTCCCGTGCAACAACAGGGCCCAAGAGAAGGCAACATAGGGTCTAGGTTTAGGGTTTAGGGTTTACGGTTTAAGGCTTTCGAGAATCCTCCCATGCCGCCGTGCCCAAGGTCCCCCTTCTGCAGGCGCAGCTCTGAAAGCATCGCTGCTGCCTCCCTGCTCGCTGCAGAGTCGGCCCAGAGATTCCAATATCCCTTAATTAAGGAATATTCTTAAATAAGGACTACCTAGGGCTAGGGTTCCTTTAAGGGATCTATAAGGGATCTATAGGGTTTAGGGGCTTCTATTATCCCTTAATTAAGGAATATTCCTTAAATCATATTAGGGATCCTACTATAAACTAAGGTATATTCCTTAATTAAGGGATATTGGAGTCTCTGGGGGCTGCCTTGTGCAGAAGCGCTGTCTAAGTTGTGGGGAGACGGCACCCGCAGTCGATACCGGCCCGCGGCTGAAGACTATAGCTGAGCAGATCGCAGCTGTGACGGCCCCGGTGGCAGTTTAGGGTTTAGGGTTGAGGGTTAACGAACCCCCAAACCCTAAATCCCTAAACCCATAGCTATCTGCAGGTACTCACTGGAGGTGCCAGAGCATTTGTTGAGCGGAAAGAGGAGGCCCAAACCCCAAAAATGCAGGGCCTTCGGGTACGGGATCCTCGCCGTGATAAACGGCTTCTCTTCCCAGCCACCCTAGGGTTTAGGGTTTAGGGTTTACGGATCCTAAACCCTTTGGAGAAAAACACTCTCGAGGAAACGGATCCAAGAAGGGCCCAATCCGGGCAGGCTCTGGCCAAGGTCTCGCCGACCCAGAGACTCCAATATCCCTTAATTAAGGAATATGCCTTAAATCACATTAAGGATCCTACAATGATTTAAAGTATCAGAAAACTGGAGGTTAGGTTTTTACAAAAATGAAAGGCAGGACATGTAGCACATATACTAATATATGAACAATGTCGCAAAGACGAGCAGAAGGAGAAGGAAGCGCGACAGGCGGCAGAGCAAAGCCAGGCGACAGCGGAGGTGTGTCCACCAGCGCCAGCGCCAGCGTCCCCAAAGACGATGCAGATCGACTTCGGTTTGTCGGAGTGCCTAGCTTTGATCCGGTTGAGTTCTTGGACAATGAGTCCCGGCGTCTGTACGAGCGCCCTCTGGAGTACAGGGCTGAGATTCCCAGTGACATACCGGTTCCGCGAGTCCAGGTCCGAACGGCCCCCGGGAAGAGGGTCGCCCTCCTTAAGACTCTTGATGCTTGTAAGCGGCTAGCGTTGATCCCTCAGAGCCAAGTTAAGACTCCTCTTCGGAATGGGATGTTCTCGGTTCCTACGGACCGGGAGCGAGACAGGATGGCGAAGCCGCTCCATCGCAGTTCTGAAGTTGCCCTAAGGCCCCATAGTAGTTCCTTTTGGGGATTACCTTATGGGATTCTAAGTATGAACCACAAAAAAGGAACTACTATGGGGCCTTGGGGTGGACTATGGCATTGAAGACAACATCAACTTCAAAGGGTTTAGAGGGTTTAGAGTTTAGGGTCTCTCGGTTGTAGTGTTTTGGGTTGAAGGTTTAGGGCTCACGGTATAGCATTTAGAGGGTTTAGAGTTTAGGGTCTCAAGGTTTTAGGGCGTTGGGTTTAGGGCTTGGGGCTCACGGTATAGCATTTAGAGGGTTTAGGGTTCAGGGTCTCAGTGTTTTAGGGTTTTGGGTTTAGGGCTCACGGTATAGCATTTAGAGGGTTTAGGGTCTCAGGGTTTTAGGTTCTGGGTTTAGGGCTCACGGTCTAGCATTTAGAGGGTTTAGGGTTTAGGGTCTCAGGGTTTTAGGTTTTGGGTTTGGGGTTCCGGGCTTACGGTATAGCATTGAAGATCCTACCAAACCTTGGGTTTCTGGGTTCCCCAACAAGGGTCCCTTTGTTCCTACTATTTGGTTTTTATAACTTTATAACTGAAGGGCAAAGGGGGACTAATTACTGGCAAATCTAGGTTTTGACACAGTAAGAGCCTGATCTTACAGCTCATGGTTGCATCCCGAAACGCGGTGCATCAACCCCGATTCCAAAACACGCTCAAGCCTGCACCCGAATTGTCTAGGGTTGCGGGTTCAAGGTTGTTTTTCGGGGCGTATTTGGGGATGTTTGAACATCATCAACAGCCAAAGCAACCCTAGACCCTCCCTAGACCCTAAAGAACCTACCTTTTTAGGGTTCCTTACTATGATTTCCTTATATAAGTCATTAAAGTACAGTCGGTTCTTCAGGGTTAACGTCAGCTGGGCAAGGGCGTAGGGTTTCTTATGACCTTTACGTATCAGGTTTAAGTAGAATTAAAGCTGGTTTTGAGGGGAAGTTTCGCTTAGGTCTCGGGTTTAGAGTGTAGAAGGCACGTGATAACAACTATAACAACCCTTAAAACCTTTACAGCGTCTAAACACCCACCACAAACATCCCTCAAACCTCTAATATCCCTCAAGCCTGAAAACCTCTCCAAACCCTACACTCTGAACGCTAGAATAGGTTAGAAGCTGCCCCGACCCTGTAATAGTGACTATAAGGATTATAATAGGGCCCTATTATATTCCTATTATACCACTATTACAGGGTGGGGGCAGCTTCTAAGGAATAGGGTCTTGGTATATATTAAACTATGATTATAATCCAAAAACAATACAGATTTTTTTAGGCCCCTATACCATAGAACCCCACTATAGATCCCGTCCAGATAGTATAGGCAAGTATTTTGGCCCCTAACATTAAACCCCAGAACCTCAAAACCCTAAATCCTTAACCCCTACATAAACCCCAAACCCCTAACCCCTGAACCCTACACCTATACCCCTAAACCCTATGTCCCTAAATCCTATACCCTGCTAACCCTACCTCCTTCTGCAAGCTCGCGGAGAGGCGGCGATGGAAGCGCCGACATGTCCAATGAAGGGTTCTGCAGTAGACCTTTCGGTGTCCCTTTCAAGGAGCCCTTAAAGGAACCTAGTTAACGGAGCCCCAAAAGGAAACTAGGATCCCCTTAAAGGAGCCATTACCCAGGATCCCCTTAAACCGTAAAGGAAGCTAGGATCCCTTTAAATAAGGAGCCCTTAAAGGAACCTAGGATCCCTTTATAGGAGCCCTTAAAGGAAGCTAGGGTCCCCTTAAAGGAGCCCTAGAAGCCTCTAAACAGCTCCTCAATATAGTACTTTACAGGTACGCCCAGGGTGCTGTAAGGGCACAAAAATGGTTCAAACAGGGTTTTTTGAATGTGCCATAAAAGTGGAAGGTGTTGAGCTTCAGGCTCAAGGTTCACGCGTTTAGGGCCTGCGTTTGCACTGGGGGGTTGGAGGCTTCATTGTGGCTTTCAGGGTTAAGCGCCACGCTCCGTTGTTCAAGCTTAATTTTCGGGGTTTACCCGTCTCACGCTTCGGAATCTGTCTTTGAATCAACAAATCTTTGATATCAAGGGGCTACATTTTGGGGGGTCAGGGTCTCTTGGAGTTGTATGGTCTTGGGTTGAAAGCTCTACCTATACATACCAACAGACTTCCGTCAGATCGAACTATAAGCCCACATGCGCAAATTACCTGGGCCCAAAAAGCCCCAACACCCCGGCGCACATTCTCGGAGAGGGAGTTCGTCTCGGAGATGCCTTGGAACCAACAGGTCAGGGATTTGGGGACGTTCAGGGTTATTCGCTCGAAACGGGGGCCTAGGTCGGTTGTAACGTTGCTTTAGCGATGCACTGGATGGCTGCGAAAACGAAACATGCAAAACTGCGCATGCTAAACCTATACGCCCGGAAACACCTAGAGCCTCCAACCATCGACAAGGGTTCTTAAGTCTGTGGGTGTGCCGTGAGTACTCGAACATGTAAAGGATTCTTGCAACCTGTGTCCAAACCGCACATGGATGACACTGCCAGCCAGCAACCATCAGCCTTCAAACCTAGTCTTGCTGTCATCCCAAACATGCTGAGGTCTCTGGGTTGAAAGCGGGGAGGAGCTTACAAAGGCTGCTTAGAAGTGAGGGTCATTTTTCTGGAGTCCTTCTATCAGGGATCCTGCCATCTAGCAGTCATGCAGAATGATTTCTAAAGGGTATGAAGGGGTCATAGACCCTGAGCCGTTTGCCCCAAACGGCATCCTGCCTCTTCGATTCAAGCCGGTTTTGCTAATCGCACAGGAAACCCGAAGTGATTGTCGCCAGGCGCTGCGCTGAGGCGCATTTTGCCTACCCCGGACTAGCGGAGCAGCGAATGAAAAATGCCAACCGGTGAGTGTCCGAAGCGTTGTTCCTCATGACCAGTGGCGCAGGTCTGCGGCTTGCGAGGCGGGTTTTGGGGGAATCTTCATCTTTGATTTTGATGGCGGAATTTAGCTTTCTTCATTGTTCCAGGGCAGGTAAGCAATTGAGTATAGGCTGCTGGGTAT